TTAAGTACAGGAGCAACTGCTCCATCTGTCAAACATGATCTACCAGAAGTCCAGAACAGTTCACATTGACAAATTTATTGATGAAATTTCAGAATATGAGACTTCTCAAAAAAAAAATCACAACATGAGAACAGGAAATAGTAAAGGTGTTAGTGGTAAAATAGTATTGAGTTTAGTTTTATGATTTTGTGAAGTGATCTGTTTTCTTACATTTCTATCATGCTGCGATTGAACCTTTATAAAGTCTATATCAGTCTATTCTGGCATAAGGTTTCTGAAACTAGACCCAACCTTTTGCACTAGCTTTCAACATTTGTATGTCCATTGTCTCATCTAAGTGTCCACTTAGATTTTAACATAACACTGTCTGATATTATCATGCTTTACCTTCAAAATAACATGCTTTAATTACAGAAATACAATATTGGCCCAACAGTGGCATCACCTACTTTTTGTCTGTCTCCACTGAAAAGATCCTAGCTATTCATTTTCTAATCAACATGACATCAGTAAATTAGCAATAAAAGGTTACAAATCTACTTGATATTTGCAATGCGCAACAGAATAACAAGCTCAAGATTATTTTTTAGCTGTCTTTGTCTTTTCTACTCTAATTATGTTCCTTACATATGTAAAAAAGTGAAACAAGAGAAAATTAATTAGCTTCTCATGAATCATGAGTAAATCATTTCCTCACCTTCCAATGATCTTGAAGGGCAAGCAAGCATATCAAAGAAATTAACCATTGGACATGAAATTTGAACTCAACATTCAAGTAGTTTCTAACGTTACTCAGAACTCAGCAAAAACAGAACACACTAGGTGAGATCTTCCGATATGCCTTAGTTTTGGTGGCGGGTGGGAGGTGGCAAATACCTAGTGGGATAATCGAGATGCTTGTAAGCAGACTCTGACACCATTGTTATTATAAAAGTTTCTCATAACAATTGGTGTATCTACCACGATCTCATCTATCATAAGCACCTCTGGAAACAACATGGTTCATCACGCCAACAAGAATATTCTATCACTTCCGCGAAACAATTCCTCAAAACTCATTTTGTTTACTTAAACATTTACAATGAATGAACAAGACTAGCTAGTCACTTCTTAAAGATTCTGTTTTCCCCTGATTCCATGATCAAGAAGTTAGCATCATACAGCCTGCAACCCTAGAACAAAAAAATAATTTTGTTTCACTCAACATGTAGTTTATCTACATCTAAAGATGGTAGAAAACAAGAAATCCTCTAGCCTCTGCATTTCTAAAATTTGATGTGTCCTAAATCAGCTTGCACCTAGGTTTAGTCAACGTAATACCTGCTACTTCCCGCTAACAAGTATCAGGTATTCTTTGACCCTACCCCCCCCCCCCAACACACACACACCAGGGGCAAATTTATAGACTAGGTACTTTATGTATATATTTTCTAAAAGTGGTACAAAGGAGTATAATATTATCCGTTGGCGCCCAATGCTACAAAACGGCTAAATGGAGCACTTGGTTGAATGTTAATTTATTTACCCAGAGGACAATGAATCAATTCACGCTCAATGCATAGTTCCCTTTCTTTTTGTTAGTGATGCACTCATGTTCTACAAATCCTAAATTCGCCTCTGTCAGGCTCTGCCTCCGCCCCTACATTACTTATAACTCAATTTGGTTCAGGAAAAAAAGGTTTTTTTCTCTAAACCCTTAATTATAGTTCCTCTACCTAGACTATCTAGTTATCAACCACACAAAGGTGCAAAAATGCAAAATCAAAACTCAAATGGAGCAGAAATTCAACAGCTACGAAAAAACACTAATTTTATCAAACCAAACAACACTAGAAAAAATGGAAAATTACCTTGTTGATTACGCATTGGCGCAAAGCTTCAAGCAACCTTTGGCATTTCTCCTTATCGTAAGGCGATTCAGTGGTGCAATTTAGGAGATCAAGTGCTTCTTGCCCACAAACAGGTTGAAGACTTTCCGGGGCATCCATGAAAAAGCTTGAGGATTTTGTGAATTAGGGTTTATGGAATTTGGGAATTGTGAATGTAAGTATAAAGATTGAAATTCTGGAATCTCTTGCCCACTGTTTGTTTTTCTTTTACTTACAGAAAACAGTGGGCATTTTTCTTCTTCTTCAAGAATGTTCCAAAAGGAGACAATGATGCTTTTAGAAAATTCTACAACTTCTTCATATTATGATGTTTGTATTTAGCTATATATTTTATTTAGTCACCCGAATTACGATCTATTCATTAGTTGTTTATCTAAACTTTTGGCACTAAGTTGGACTGATTGACGGATTATGCAGCCGATTCATGATCGGGTTGGATATTAGGTTGGGAGTATTGGATATAATCGGTGTGAGTTATATCACTTATATAGAATTTGAAGTAACTATGCGATTTCAAACCATATTGGGTCGGGTTTCAATTAAAAAATATTTTAAAAAAATTTTTGTTTAGAAAGTATATTATTTTTTTAAAAGTATTTAAGACTGAATTATTTTTCATTGAAATGTGTAATGTCGAAGGAATATGTTAGTTATGATATTTAGTATGCTTAACAAATGGATCGGCTGATTTAACTTGTTTCGCTTATTTAGTTGAGTTTTGAACTTGGCTGATTTTGGGTCTTCAAGGTGTACCAACAAAGCATGTCTCATAAGGTTTGGGTTGGTTTGATATGGACTATTATCGATTCAATCTAGTTCCATATCAATATGGTTCGATTGACACTCTTACATTCAACTAAATTATTCAGATTTCAACATATTTAAGAATAAACGATATATGAAGCGTTTATATATTTTCCGTGCTAAATAATGCTTGTTTGGTCGACAAATATAATTATTTCCTTTTAAATAGTTAGTAAAACAATTTCAAAAACTTCTTTGTTGCAAATCAAACTTTAACAATATTTTTATCAAGTGTTATTTTTACTCTTTTAGTGTCGATTTAAGTTTATAGTGCCTTTCTTTTTCTTTTTTTATTTGTCTTTGCGTTTTTTTTGTTTTAGAGTTCTGATGCATAACATTTGGAAATGTTATCGTAATGTTAGGAAAAAATTGTATATTTTATCATGTTTAAATTTTATTATACTAGATATATTGTTGTTATTGAAAAGGAGCTCAAATGCAAAATTAAAATTTCAATATTAAAGGAGGTGAGCAACGGATATGTTTACTCCTTACCTAATTATAGGTTGATTTCGAATACTCAATACAAAAAAATCTTTGCTAGAGGGTGTTTCCCCTAAATAGACTCTATAGGACACAAATTCAAATTACTTTGACAAGTTTTTAATATGGAGCGCTTTCTTCAAATGAATTTTATAGAAGAGAGCGAATTTGAATTTGAATTAGTCAAACTCCAATACAAATATTGGACAAGACATCAAAACAAAATTAGGAAGTCATTGTGAAATTGTCCTAATGAAAAAAAGGTTAATATAAATTTCGAACAGGACATCAAAACAAAATTAGAAAGTCATTGTGAAATTGTCTCATGAAAAAAATGTTTAAAAAACGCACAAAATTAGAAAGTCATTGCGTTGTCTCATGAAATAAAGTTTAAAAAACGCCCACCGTGGGGCTCGAACCCACGACCACAAGGTTAAGAGCCTTGCGCTCTACCAACTGAGCTAGACGGGCAATTTTTGTTAATATTTTGTGATATTAAAATTTATTTATATTCCTTCAGTGCTCACACATATGTAACAAGAACAAGAATCTGGCCAAACATAAAAGGAAAAGAAAAATAAATAACCAGAGCTAGAAAAAATAACACCTGATATTACTACACTCTGCAAATTAAACACAAATTCATGATTTTCATTTCTAGTAAAATCAAAGAGAAATCGGAGTTAGATATGTATATATTTTCAGAGTACTATACTTTTGTTTTTATTATTATATACATCAGAAGTAATTAAATCATCATCAACAAAATAAAAATTCATATAACCAATCAATTACACTATTAAAATCTCCAAGTACTTAAACTTTCATCATACTTTCACGTAATTTTTTAGTTTCCTCACTTTAAAAGAAGTCGCTAAAGCAAATAACATCTTTTAATTTTATTCAAACAGCCAAGATTGAAAATAAAATCCAGAGTATCCTTTATGAAATTTCAATTTGATTTGTATATCTTAGAATAGAAAATACTAAAATAATATGTATATATACTATCAATGTATTTAGTATGTATAGCACCTATTTATTTGAGATACATTATGTTAGTATACATATAATGTATGATATTACGTATATCACATTTGAGTTGAAATTGGTATCCATTATCATATTCAATTAACGAATATGTATAAAAAAGTATGAAATATATTTTGATAGTATATCAATTGGAAGTAGATGAATGAAAGGATAAAACGGAGAGATTTAAGGAGAGAGATATAGATGGAATAAAAATAGAGAGATTTAATGAGACAAGTCTAGTGTGTTTGGTTTGAAGGAAAATGTTTCCGATTTTTTTTTCTTACAAGTGAATTTCTAACTTATTTCCTACTGAGCAAAACTATATTGTCTCAAGAACATTTAGATGTAAGTTAGAAAAACACCACGAGGGTGAAGAGTGGGCTATTGGGGGAGACGAGGGGTGAGAAGGTCAACGGGTGTAGGTTGAGGTCATTGGGAGGAGACCATGAATTGGAAAATCACTTATGGAACTTGTTTTTCCTTCCCTCACTAGGAAAGTCATTTTCTTATTTTTTTTTAAAGAACTTGTTTTCCCGAAAAAATATTTTTCAAAATATTTTGACCAATTAAAATTTTCTCACGATTAGTCGGACAAAATTTTTGGAAAACATTTTCATAAGAGGAAAATGACTTCCTTAATAGATGTTGGAAAATAAGTTTCATAATCGACGTTTTGTAGCAAACTACCCTTGAAATAAACTTCCGCAAAGAAGTTTGGGAATGATCTGCAGGCAAGTGATAACTAAAGTGCAGATGCAAAGGGTTAAAATGCATACTTTGAACCCAACATAGAGTTTTAACACCATAACTAATAACATTCTTGCAAGCAAAGAGAAAATCAAATTGTTTCAGGAAGGACCCTGTTCGACTTTCCCGCCTTTAAGTTTGATTATGCATAGGAACACAATTTCTTAATACAAGCTTTTAAGTTTGATTATGCATAAGAACACAATTTCTTAATACATAATATATAATACTAAATACCACAGCAGGGACGGAGCCCGATGGTCACAGCAACTATTCCATAGATAATACAAAATACCACAGCAGGGATGGAGCCCTCCCTCCAGATATGGTCACAGCAACTATCCCATGGCAAATTTTTGAGTCCAGCTCCGGGCAGTTGTCTCATACTTGCTCCTATCAGTTTTGTACATATGAGCAATCTCCGGCACCAAAGGGTCATCAGGATTAGGGTCTGTCAGCAGAGAACAGATAGAGAGCAGTACCTGCAAGGGACAAATTAATTACCCCCCTATAATACACCCAACTAAAATCTAATCTGATGAATGCCCAGTCTGCACTTGACTGGTAAAATAGTTCAAATTTACGGGAAAATTTACTGTTTCACAAATCTCAGGATGTAAATAACCAAAATCAAAAGATCCATGTGTGGTAAGGCCGGTAACCTATACCAAGAAATTCAACTAACCTTGGAGATGGTAAGTGCAGGGCTCCACTGTTCCTTCAAAATGTCTAGGCATATGCTGCCATTGCTATTGATGTTCGGGTGGAAAACCTTTGTCCTGAAAGCTACCTGCACATTTATCCCATAAAATGAAGACAAGAAATTTGCTGACAGGAAGAAAAATAAATTAGAAGTAAAGGAGGTTGCAGAACAACATCAGGTGGGGAAGTGCCATCCATGTCCCTAGTTGATTTTGCACATAGAAGTTCTTTAAACTTACGTGCTTTGGCAAATAGATCTTGAAACATATTATGTCACAGTTAAAAAGATGTGAAGAGAAATTCTATTATGTGATTCTCAAGCAATGTGCAAAACTTGCACTTAAGTTGTTAATACACCTATAAGAAAGGAGCACCGAGATTCCAAAATCTCATGGTTTGTCAATGCACCAAGCCTTGACTAAAAGAGAAATCTAAGCCATACTTCTTCAATTTGCACAATATGATGTACTCTTCCTACCTTAGATCTGGCGTACCACTTGGTTGAAATAAACAAGTGGACAAACTATACTCTCTTGTTGACAATAGACTAGAGTTCTATGCATTGGTAACTTAGCAAGCGTTGCAGAACAGTTTCTCAAATAACAACAAGACCTTCATGACTGCATTAACAGAATGCACTCTGCCAATGATAGTAATCCACGGCCTTTTACCATGGCTTCCTTATCATCGAAGGTCAGTCGACCAAACAGGAGGCATATATCCATTTGAAACTGTAATCACAGGGCATGGGACCAGTGACAGAACTAAAGTTGAACTCAAGTACTTTCATAGGTAGCATCATCTTCTCAAATACAGTGTGCTCTGCCTGCTTAAATCTTGTAACATGAGCTATTGCTGCTCATAGTTTTTGGGGGAAAAGAACTAACCAAGATTAAAATCTAATGGACCTGATGACATGGTTTCTAAAATCAGTTAGATTACATATGATGGTGTCAAACACCCAGAATTCAAATTTCATTGAAGACCATTTACAAATGTGAGTTGTGACTTTGTATAGGAAATGAAAAGGATCACAATCAACAGTTGACACCAGTTGAGTTGAGATTTCATATATATGCTTACCTAAGAAAGGGTTAATAAAATGAACAAAGAAGCTTCAATCCAGTTGATACAGTAAAATTACAAGCCTAAAAATGATAAGCAAATTTGATTTTGTAAAAGAAGCAAGAGAAGTTTCAGAAATATCATGTTAATAAGCAAACAAACAAGTTGATCATCAAGTGTTATCAACAATACACATCCCTAATTTCATACCTTTGGTGGCTTGAATGGATAGTCCGGTGGAAAATGAATGGTAACAAGAAACACTCCACCAGAATAGGGACTGTCAGCTGGACCCATGATTGTTGCTTGCCAATGAAACATATCTTCAGCCACTGGGCCTATTACAGATAACATAAGCAAGAACACAAGAAATGAGAAAACAACTTGCCACATGCAGACCTTTAAACAAGTTTCTTCAGCAACACACAATACAAGCAGCAGATTTAACAAAACACAAGAATCAGAGAACAGCTTTGCAGATGTTAATGAGGGCCTGAGGCTCTACTTAAAGTCCTAGAGTCTCCATGGTTTTTTCTTCTTTTTTTCCCAGTAGATTCTTCCTAGAATAGTACTAGGTATGTTGTTGTTGTTGTTGTAGTTGTGTCTTCCTAGAATAGCAGTTGTCAAAAAATGAAGGGACTTTTAACAGAGGGTAGGAATGACAAATTACACATACTTTGCGGAGTTTTTACCCTTAAAATAATGCTAATTGATTTTATTTTCAAAGTCGATGCTGAATACCAATCCATTTGACCTGCTATCAAACTCAAGATTTCTCTTTGATTTATCCATCTCGTTAGGATCTATTTTGGGATGAGCTAAGTTCTACCAAGACTCTCATTTGCAGCCCATTAAATATCATATAAACTCAAAGCACACAAAAAGAGTATGACCTGATATTCCCTCTTCCCTCCCAAAGACAGAAGGGGGGAAAAAAAAATCAAGAAAGCAATTGAATTTATGCAATCATGTGCCAGAAGAACAGGCTTTGGTTCACTGAGTAGTATGGCGTGATATGTGTGGTAGGCGCATGTCATGAGTTCGAATCCTGATGTGAACCCCAAGTGTGGTATTTAAGAAGAAATGATTTATGGGTTACTAATAATCAATATATATATCTACATTAGACTAACAGCACGAAGCCCCTAGATGAATTGTTGTTCGCCTTTTATACTCTTTTAAAAAAGAGTTCACACAAAATAGTCATTAATATTTCCCTAATATTCAAGACTACAAAATCAGCTAAATTTAATAATCACAAATTCACAATTAATACTTACGTTGTGTTTATCCTATCTTAAGTGGTGTGCTTGTTGATGAGAGATGGACATTAACTGTTTGTTGTTTATATTCTTTTGTTAAACTTTCGCTCTTAAATTGCTTAGTATTTAGTCCAAAGTATTTTGGGTATATATCGAAATAATGTAAGAGAGGTATCTCCTTTATAATTGAACTATTAATCAGTAACTTCTTCAATCCAAGGTGACATGTAATACATTCAACACAATTCTATCTTCAAAAACACACCGAATCCCAGCATATAAAATTACATCGACACATAATATATACACCTAATCAGATATTCTCTTTAATAAGTCATGAGTTTAATTTGATTTAAGATTTTGGCCTAAATAATGATCTAGAGAATATGTAGAAAGAAGATTACAGAAGAATTTGACACTTCCTTTAAGATCTAAAGAGTTTAAGCCAGAAAAAAAATCACATTAGGGAACTTTCAAGCAATTTGAATTTTGAACTCCTTTAGGTTGAGGAGTTGTTTTATTTGTTATTAAATTTTAACCAATTAATTCTCTATTAAATGTTTTAGGTCAAAATTCAAGTACTTTCAACTTCTTTAAGGTTTAGGAGTTCAATTACATCGACATATAATCTATACACTTCGGACCTTCTCTCTTACTAGTAATGAGTTTGATGTGATTTAAGATTTTCGCCGAAATAATGATCTGGAGAATTTGCTTAAAGAGTATCAGAGAAGAATCTGACACTTCTTTAAGATCCAGTGATATTAAACCAGAAGAAAAAATCACATTAGAGAACTTTCAAGCACTTTGAACTCATTTAGGTTTAGGAATTGTTTTATTTGTTATTAAATTTTAACCAATTAATTCTCTATTAAATGTTTTAGGTCAAGATTCGAGTACTTACAACTCCATTTAGGTTTTGAAGTCTTCTTTTTGTTATAGCATGGGAAAAATCACATTAAAGAACTTTTTGAGTTCCTTGAACTCCTTTTAGGGTTAACAATAAAGAATAATCTTTATAACAAAGAAAACAAAACTTTATTTACCTGATAGTTTTAGTTATTTAATCAGATCCTATGCCTAAACTATATCATTTAACAAGTTTTAATCAATTGAAAGTTTCTTTTAAATCTATTTTTTTGCAAATTTGTTCGCTTTTTTCGACTTGATGAAGATAACCAAATGGCCAAAATGCTTTCAAGCATGTATTCATCCCCAAAATTCAACTTAACCTAAATTATTATTCTTTGCAGGTTGAACAGACACCCAATTACATTGAATTCAACTATTGCATCAACCCAATTTTACTTCTCAATTCAAATGAATGTTGCATTTATCTCGACGTCAATTCTTATAACACAAAGTTTATATATTTTTATACGATTCTTTTATTAATAGACAACAGAATTCACGAGCAACGCACATACACTAAAACTAGTAAAACTACTAAAAACAGCTTCAACTCTATACACTTCCCCAAACTAGAAATGTTAACCATTTAATCATGAAGCTGAGCAATCAAAACGATAACTTTTAGAGAAGATCTGTCCAGATATAGCAAAAGGAAAATAAAAAAGAAGTAGCAAACCTATAATCTCAACAAAGCCAGCAAGAACAGTACTAGAATTTTTTTTTTAAAAATAGTTAAAAGTAGAAGGAGAAGAAAAAGGTACCAGCGCTGCAAGAGGTGGGAGGATCTTTCTGGAGATCCTTCAGCTCCTTGAGAATCCGCTTGGATGCCATAGCAGACCAAATCCCTAACTTAACATAAAACAAAACCCTAGATCAACTCCGAATGCACAAATTTACACATACAGGAAGATAATCAAACACCATAAAAGCACAACTGAAGAAGAGATGAGAAGAATTTTTACCTTAGAGATCCTCCTGTGGTACTGCAATTCAGAATTCTGGAACTGGTGAAGAAACAATTAGGACTCCATTTTTATATATATATATAGCAGAGAAGAAATATGAGAAAGTGCTTTTGATCTGTAACGTATCTGTGAGAGGTAATTTTCACCTACAACCCCTAGTGCTTTGAGGATGTGACAATTAGATCCCTTAATTTTTTAAAAGTGGCAGACACCTACCAAACTTTTCTAGTTATGGGCTACTTTCATTGTGCCTTAGTACCCATGACATTAGGCGCCCCGAGTAGGTCGCACAAGTAACAACAATACATGTGTCGTGTGTTAATGTCAGACATGATAATCAGCATCTGGTAGAAGGGCAATGCGGAGGCGACAGTCATTTAAAAATATTGTATTGCAAGTCCTAAGAGTGTCAATGAGTTTATGAAAGACATGAGGTGAGTTCAGGGTTTAGCTTGTAGGTGACGGCGATGTGCATGCCACAAGTGCCATTGTCGTACATTCTTGAGCAATAGTTGGAATGTAGGAAATTCAGATAAAAGTCTTGTTACTAGGATATTTTTAGATATGATTACCAAGTTTTGGTGCCATTTGGAGTTTGTTTACATTTGGGCTTGGCTTAGCCGAGAAGTAGTGGCATTGTCATAATTAGTTTAAGCTTCTGAAGGCTATAACTTGTTCCATGAGCATGCATGGGATGAAACTTCACGGAGGTGTGAACGAAATCAAAAGAAGTTGTTAAGAACAAATGGCACTTGATTTGGAGTTCATATGAGATCGGGAAAACTCATCATCATTTTTTAACAGAAACATGTCTACTCCTCACACTTGAGTTTATTTTTTAAAGCATATATAACATGGGTGTAGTTTATTTCTGTAAACCATACATAATAGGGGTATGCATGGTGACAACCTACCAACCTTCCCCAGGCCAGTTGACAGTCGATCACCCTAAGTATGTTGCCTTAAAGAGGAAAATCAAGGGACTTAAAGAGTTCCTAAGGTATCCATACGAATTTAGGAACTCCATGGATGGCGCATGGCCTATGGCCAACGTTGGGTGTCGAACAAGTAGTGAAGGATTGATAGTTGGAAAGATTAGGACTTGTCGACTACCTTTGTGATGGAATAACACTTCTATGTCTATTGAGCTATTGAGGGGCTCTCTTCAAATCCTCGTTAATTGACTTGTGAGCTTGGGTGGGTTCATCTATGCGAGCAAATTAGGTCTGTTGTCCTAGACGTGCATTCGTGGGTCGAATTTGCGCTATCTGAGATGTATGTACAATATGTGAGTTTTGTTAGACGAAGGCATGGTATAGAAGACGCACATGACAAAGGCTAAGGATCGGATGCTTTCCTACTTAAGCTAAGCGTAAGGCACATACACATACACAAGAAAACTGTTAAGCTGGAGGACAAGATTGTGCGTACGAGAACGATACTCAAGTTCAGGTGAGGGATTAGTATGTTTGTATCCAACCCCCAACGTACGCATGAACAAGACCTAACGGATGAGATGTGTCCTAATATCATGCTAGAAAGTTGATCCTAAGGTCATGGAATCGAGTAAGAGGAAGCGCTAAAGCTAAGACTTTGAGGCAAGCTTCGCCATAGGCATAGGGTAGTGTCAATAATCTCGGGACAATCATTAGGCAAGCTTGTAGCCTATTAGGACTATAGATGCCACACAAGTTACAGTGTGCCACTTACACTAAGAAGGAGTCGGATCATGACAAAAAGAACTGACTAGATCATAATCAAGCATATGATGGTGTTTCTTATATCGAATAAGGAATATATATTTGAATCACTACCACTTATTTGACTTGGACTAGTGTTGCCTTCATACATCCAAAACCACTTTGTGATATGTCGACCAACAATACTTACCCTACAACATCATTGTCCTCCACAACATCTTACTTTGCAGCTAGAGTGCACTCACAATAGTTCTTTGCGTGAGACCAATCAGCCTCAAGCCCAATGCATGAGCTCAACCAAGTTGTAATTGTAGTCAAGTGCTATTAACTAGAGTTTTCAAACTATGTGTTGTCTTTTCATCCTTTAACATGGACTAGACTTTTTTGCATATAAGTAAGCACTTCCAAAGAAGAAATAGGCATCCGAGATATTTTCTCCTGAAACCAAGAAACTAGGGATGTTCATGATTTGGTTTGAATCAATTTTTAGGAAAAAATCAAAATTAAGTCGATTTTTACATTATTAAAATCGAACTAGACTAAGTACAATTCATTAGGGTCATGGGATAAATGCATTATATTATTTTAAAACAAGATTGATATGATATAATATGTCAAATATGTGTCGTATATTTTCTAAGTCAAAAGACAATAGTTTGGTGATTTTATTGTCTTAAAAAACAAAAATGACTTCGGTTAGATATCCCCATAAATTGAGTGACTTTATTGTCCAAAATATACCAAAAATGACCTTAGTAGGATTTTTCCAAAAGTTGAATGACCATTCATGAAATTATTCATGCAATTAAGTGGGCCATTTACAGACTCGTCTAATGAAGCAGGATCAAGTGGCAAGTGTCCAACGTTTGTTAGGGGTGAGTCAAGGTCAACTAAGCTATAAATTTTGAATTAGATTTTCAAATTTTATCATTAAATATTTGTTTGATCATTTAAGTTCCAAAAATTACAATTCAAAAAACTCAAAATTTCAAATTTCAAGTTTCAACTTCAAAATCTTACGCCTAAGTCGGAGCTAAGCATTATTACATTATTGATGTGTTTGGTGCGGATGAAATATTTTCTAGCCAATTTCCCACGTGCGGTAGTTTAATATATTTTTGAAAATTATTTTCTATGGGAAGACAAGTTTGTTAAAAAAATGAGTAAAATAACTTTTTTTTTCTTTAAAGAAAATCATAGGTTTTGATATAAAATATAATTGTACCGGATAGTTAAGTGGATTTTTAATTTTATAAAGAGAAATAAAAAAGAATATTGAATCGTACTAAATAAATTTTGGTAGGGTAGTTCAAGAATAACTTATCAAAGAAAAGGATATTTTAACAAGACATATTCATAATTTGTCGCACATTTGACATGTTAGCTTTTTAGAGAAATCAGATACAAAAGTTTAGATCTCTACTCTCAAACCCTAGAATTATAAATTTAGTGTCACATGTCAATCAAAACTTCCAAATCACTCGTAAATGTTACGCATATATATGGTAAATAATTTATTAGGGGTGAGCGTTGTGTACTTGGTTCAGTATTTTTAAAATTTGATTTCTGTAATCGATAATTGAAAATAGATATCAACTATCGAACTTTCAAAGTTTAGTATGGTAAATTATGATACGTTAATTCAGTAATTACATAATGAAAGAAAAGATATTTCGACAAGATATGTTCAATATTCGTCCAACATTTGACATGTTAGCTTTCAGAGAAATAAGATATAAAGGTTAGATCTCCACTCTCAAACCCTAACATTATGAATTTGGAGTCACATGTGAATCATCAAATCCAAACACTCGTTAATGTCACCCATATATATGGTAAACAAATAATGAAGGGTGAGTGTTCAATATTTCCAAAATTCAATTTTTGTAAGTGATAATTGAAAATAGATACCAAACATTGAACTTTCAAAGTTTGGTATGAAAAATAAAATTTTGGTACGATATACGAAATGTATAATTCAGTAATTACTTATTAATTTTTTTTTGACAAGACATTGTTCATATTTTGTCCAATATTTATTATGTTAGCTATTAGAGAAATCCAATATAAACATTAGACCTCCACTTGAACCCTATCATTATGAATTTGACGTCACATGTCAATCAAGACATTCAAATCACTCGTTAATGTAATTTATATAGATAATAAATAATTCATTAGGGTGTACGTTCAAATTTTAGTTTATTGCTTCTAATTGGTTCCAATAATTTAAAGTAGATACCAATTCGATACTATAAATTAAATTTTGATACGGTAAGTTCCGATTTGATTCAATAATTCAATTTTCACCACTCCTACGTAGAGACGAAACTCAATTTCACTTTTTTTTTTTTTTAATTATTTAAAAAAACATTTTGGATCAAGTTATGATTTTTTCAATTGTTTAGAAAGTCGATTGGTTTTTTAGGTTCATTATGTTAGTTGGAGTGCCGTCAAATCTTTCCAACCCTAAAAGCTCCTGGACCGGACGACCTACATCCATACTTCTACTAGAAAAAATATTGGAATATAGTTGGGCAATCAATAATAAATCTAGTTTCACAATCTTTCGAGAAGGGATGCATTCCAAAGGATATAAACAAGACCCATATATGCCTCATTCCAAAAAACAAGAACGCTTGCTCCCTTAAGGATTTCTGGCCTATTAGTCTTTGTAATACGACCTACAAGATCATTACTAAGATTATAGCCCTAAGACTACGACCTTTTATAGAAAACTTAATTGGGCCCTATCAAACTAGTTTTCTTAGAAATAGGCAGACTAGTGATAACGCCATTATAATCCAGGAAATGATCTCTCACTTCCAAAAAATGAAAGGTAAAAGTGCTAACATGATTCTAAAGATAGACCTCGAAAAAGCCTTCGACAAGTTGGAATGGGATTTCATCAGGAATACACTCCATTTCTTTAATTTCCCGCAAAAGTTCATCAATCTCGTTATGTCTTGCATCACAACCAGTGAAATTGCAATTCTTATAAATGGAACGAGAACAAAGTTTTTCGAACCTTCTAAGGGGATACGACAAGGAGATCTGATGTCATCCTATATCTTCATACTATGCATGGAAGTTTTATCCAGAAAAATCGAATATGAGGTTAGCATAAAAGGATGGAGCCCTATTAAATCTTCCCCAAAAGGTCCTAAGTTATCACACCTTTTTTTTTGCGGATGACTTAGTCTTAATGGCTAAAGCCAATGTATCAAACTGTGAGACCATCATAAAAATTTTAGGAGATTTTTGTATGTCATCAGTAAAAACAAGTCAAAAGTTATCTTTTCCAAAAATTCCCCAGATGAATTAAGGAGGTCTATCTCCAACAATCTGGATATAAAAAATGGGGACTGCTTTGGAAAATACTTGGGCTTTCCAATAATAAC